CAATTACATCGTGCTACTGCTTTTATACGCCCCAGGAATCACGCCATACATCCAGATTGGCCCAAACAGCCAGGCGTGATCCCAGGGCCCAACTGTTAAGGCTTGGGCCATGCCCAACAAGAACTCACCCTGTGGGGGTGCCTTAGGAGCCCGAGCGCAACCAGGACCCACGTTAAGGAGGATCCCATTTACTGTATCAACGGCTGACATAACCATGTTTGTGAAATGTCAACATAACTTTCTGCTGCTCCACAGTGAGACTACCCATTGTGGTCACCACAGTGGTGGTGAGCTCTGAATGATAAACTTAGACAGAAAGCACCCTTGCTTAGAACAGAAATGGCAATATTATGATGGGCATTCTCATACCCCAAATCCCATGTCCAGTCCAAAATCCCTCTCTACTTTACTGCTTGGATTGTTGCATGCTGACATGACAGGAAGTGCATTTGTTTGTCCAAGTCCTTTGTTCAGCTGACTGGTTACCACAACCAATGTACAAAATAGGATGTTCTTGCAGACTAGGTATTGCTTTAAAGTTAATGGGGAAAGCTGGTTGGTCAAAATAAACTAATATAAGCATTAGCACCCCAATCCCCTAAATATTTAGCTAGGCAAAGGTAAAGTGACCCCTGACCATTTGGTCCAGTCGTGACCAACTCTGGGGTTGCGGTGCTCATCTCGCTTTATTGGCCGAGGAAGCCGGTGTACAGTTTCCGGGTCATGTGGCCAGCATGACTTAAGCCACTTCTGGCGAACCAGAGCAGCGCATGGAAATGCCGTTTACCTTCCCACCAGAACGGTACCTATTTATCTACTTGCACTTTGACATGCTTTCGAACTGCTAGGCTGGCAGGAGCAGGGACCAAGCAATGGGAGCTCACCCCGTTGCGGGGATTCGAACCACCAACCTTCTGATCGGCAAGTCCTAGGCTCTGTGGTTTAACCAACAGCGCCACCCGTGTCCCATTTAGCTAGAGCACATTAAATGCCCACAATGTCCTTGTTCATTTTTCCCCTGCTGAGATTATGCCACCTGGAACTAGAATTATTTGTGAGATTGTGAGCAATGGTTTTGCTTTGCGAAAGGAGAGAGAGAGGAGGGGAGGAGGAAAATATTAGAAGGAAATTCTGCAAAGTTAAATTATTTTCTGAGGGAGAAAAAAAGGGGGCTTCTGAGAAATTTTGGCTCAGTGCCACTCAGTGGTCTGTACTCTTCACCTAGATTATGTTACAAAATTATAAACTAGACTGGTTTTGTGTAAATTAACCTATCAGACAAGTATTTTAATATCCTGCATTGCAGGGTGGAAATGCTGCACAGCTACTCTTGCTGCTCCAACTGGGTGGCTATGAGCTCCAGGTTGTATAAAGTGACTCCTGAATTTGTGTGTGAAGACCCCCTAACCACTCCCAAAATAAATCACAACAGACACAGAATATTTGTTTAGGTTTTGGGCATTAATTTGGCCACAACTTTATTGATTACAGTATGTGAATGGTTGCTTAGGCATTGGTTCGGACTACCTGAACCTGCACTCAGGCAGGAGCAGGACTGACAACTGGACACCGCCAGAGCTCAGTAAGGGAAAACATACTGGAGGAGCACAGAGGTGGAGTTCCATCTCTTAGTTCACCCCAGATGCTCCCAGGGACTCTGGCATGGCCCTACCCCTGATAGGGGAACGGACAGATAAATCGAGCCCCTGGATTCCTTTAAAGGAATTCCCTAGCAGCAGCAATGGAGGGGCAGGCACAGCCAACCACATCCCCTCTTCCAAACAATGAACCAATGCCTAACCACCAACCTTACAAAGTTGTGACTATTTGCTACACGGTAGGCAAAAACCAAATGGCACCAGTCAATCAGCCAAGTGGCAAAATTCCCACCGGGCTCCCGGTCCAAAAGCAGACGACCCCTAGACAGGCATTGCAAGGTCAAAAACACTGCCCTAATTATAGGGAGGAAGGGCAGGGGATCCGCTGCACAATTCAAAAGAGAAAGCTCCGTGCATCGTGCAGCACCTTAAATAGTCCCTAACACTCCAATCAAAGCCCAAACAGCCAAATTTTCTACCTCAGCAACAGAGGTGCAGCCAATGGGGTGCAGTCGCCATCCAATCGGGCCCGCCCCAGCAACGAGGAGGCAGTTTAGGTGATCTGACCGCAACACGTGACTCTCCATGATGGAAGACACAATATGTAAACCAAGTATTTGCAACCAACTATAAATAAGCTTTCCTCTAACCTACATGTGAGGTAAAGCACATTTCCCCACAGTCAGATTGTCCTTTTAGATGCAGGCTGCTTTTGAACTTTTCAATTTTCAATTTTTTTTTATTTTTGCTTCAGCAGTTGTTGCTGTCTCATTCATTTATTCATAGGTTGTTGTTTGTTTTGTTTGTTTTACTCAGGCATTTAATTTCTGATTAGTTGGGTCAAGGTCAAGGTTTTCCCTTTTTGGAAATAGGCATGATTTAATGGTTGCTGTAATATTGTTTTATTGTTTGATTATGTAAGCCATTCTGTGCACCTGACAGTTAAGGGGTGGGGTATATAGCAAACACACCATTTGGAAGGGATAAAGTTGGAATCACTTATGAAATATAATCAAAGCACATTTCAGGGAGGAGGGAGAAACAGTGGCTTACAGTGGGGGGTCTCTTGAGGTCAACATCAGGAAAGGATAATAAAAGATACAATCCAACCAAGGAGGATTTCACCTGCCTGGTGCCATGTATGTGGGACAGGATCATTTGCAATACATTTAAAACTATGGAATTTGCACACCATATGAGGGAACAGCACCAGCAGCACAAGCACCAGAATAAAAATCCTCCTCCTCATTGCAAAGCTTTACAGTTACCCTCATAGGACAGAATCATAACTCAAAATAGCCGTAACAGATTGCAGAACTGGATCCAAACTAACAAAATGAATTTTAATAGGGAGGTTCTGCACTTAGGCAGGAAGAACTAGATGCACAAATATAAGATGGAGGAAACCTGGCTTACTAGCAGTACATTGGAAAAGGATCTAGGGGTCTTGGTGGACATGCTTAACATGAGTTAACATGTCAGGAGTCCAGGTCTCAGCCTGATAACACTGTAAGTGTAGCTAATTAAAAAGGAGGATTTATTGCAAAAACAAACAGATAGCTCGGGACAGCTCTAACAAAGCCTCTGGCACCATGATTCAAGATGACCCTTCTGAAGACTGCTTCTGGCTTGACCAGAAACAACTGAACTTTCACTTCTTACATCTTTTGTTTTGCTTCCTATCTTGCAACCCTCCCATTCGCCGAGACCTTGGACTGAGAGGGTCAGCTCCTGCCTCTTCCCCATTCTCTGAGAGGCTGTCTCTTAACTCTTTCCTGCACGTTTGTGCTTCCGGCGAGCTTTGACTGTGTTCTAGCCTGCCCTCCATTCCTGTCTTATCAGCTTGCACGTCAAGGTCGGGAGGAGCCAGAATATGCAGCTGCCAGATTTCCTCATTCCTGACAAACAGTATGATGCAGCAGCAAAAAAAGACCTAATTCTATTCTAGGCTGCATCAACAAATGTATAGGGTCCATATCAAGGGAAGTAATAGTACCACTCTATTCTGCCTTGGTCTGATCACACCTGGAATACTGTTCAATTGAAGAAGGATGTTGACAAGGTGGAGCGTGTACAGAGTAGGGCAATCAAGGTGATCAAGGGTTTGGAAACCAAGCCTTAGGAGAAACAGTTGAATGGATTGGGTATGTTTAGCCATAATATGTTTAATATCCTTAAGGTATATAATTGCCATCTTCAAATATCTCAAGGGCTGTCACATGGAAGATGGAGCAAGCTTGTTTTCTGTTGCTCTGGAGGGTAGGACTCAAACCAATGGATTCAAGTAACAAGAAAGGAGATTCCGCGACTAAACATTGGGGGGGGGATTCTGCCAGTCAGAGCTGTTAGACAGTGAAAGGGACTCCCTCAGGAAGTAGTTGTCTCATCTTCCTTGAAGGTTTTAAAGCAGAGGTTGGATGGCCATCTGTCATGTGTGTTTTAGCTGAGATTCCTGCAATGCAGGGGTTGGGACTGGATGACTCTTCCAACTGTACTATCACATATTCTATATTATTTAATTGAAATAAATCGAGCAGAGCAATACAATAAAAATAATAGGTATACAAGTACAAATACATAAAAGAAATATATCAGAAAGAGATTAAAATTAGATAAGTTGAGTACTTAAGAGCGTTAGGAAGACCCAATTTCATGTTGTACCATGGAGAGTGAAACCTGTGAGTCTATATTTCTTGTGTTTTGTACATGATAAAATCCCACCAAACCGCACAGAGTTTTTCACAATCTTCATAGCCTTTGGCAACATATTATTGAGGGGTGAATTTTTCAGCTAGTGCTAAACTACACATATTTCCATACTGGAGAAGGCTGCAAGTACTGCAAGGTTTTCCATATCTTGACAACTGAAGTTCTGGCAGTAAGCAACATCTATCCACTATAATGATTTCAATAGTTAGATTGTTACTTATTTCTCTTTTTTAGCTGCTCTTTTGAGTTGAGTTCAGGCTTGAAGACAATGACATAACATTTTGGGGAGAAGATACAACCCAAGATCCCTGCACTGGAGGCCAAGATGGAGAAAATCTCTACAGCCACGATGTATTTCCCTTTGCTGCTTAAGTAGGATGGAACAAAAGAAAGCCACACACTGCAAAACACCAACATGCTGAAAGTGATAAATTTGGCTTCATTAAAAGTGTCCAGCAGCTTCCGAGCAAAGAAGGCCACAACGAAGCTGACAAGAGCCAGCAACCCCATGTAACCAAGAACAAAGTAGAACATGTTGGCTGAGCCTTCATTGCATTCCACTATGACTTCTTCAGGCAGAGAGTGCATGTCCAGATCTGGAAAAGGAGGGTCAGTACAGAGCCATACTATACAAATACTTGCCTGGATAGAAGCACAACCAAGAACAATAGAGATGGAAAATCTTTTCCCCACCCATTTCCTCATCTTGGATCCTGGTTTGGTGGCCATGAAAGCTAGAACCACAGTGAGGGTTTTAGCCAAAACAGAAGAAACAGCCACTGAGAAGATGATACCAAAGGCAGTTTGTCGTAGATTGCAGGTCAGTAACTGGGGGCGCCCAATGAATAGCAAGGAGCAGAGGAAGCAGAGCAGGAGGGAGATGAGCAGGGTGTAGGTGAGATTCTGGTTGTTGGCTTTGACAATGGGAGTGTTTTGATGTTTGATGAAGATTCCAAACACCAAAGCTGTAGTTGCAGAAAAAGCCAGAGCCAGAAGAGCCAAACTGATGCCTAAAGGTGCTTCATAAGATAGGAAGTTTTCTTTCTTGCTGATGCACTGGTTTCTCTCTTGGTTAGGATACCGATCTTCTTGGCACTGGAAGCAATCATCCATATCTTGCAGTATAAAGAAATCAGGATTACAGTTATAGCATTCTGAGTCTCACTGAGATACAAATATTTATGCTTTAGGATCAGGAAACTTTGAATTTTACTGCACTATAATTCAGTATAATTTACAGCATACACAATAGAGAAAAATATCTTTTTCAGGAAATTCTTAGAGTGTTAATATGTTTTGTCTTTAAGTTAAGCTAATTTTTGGTGGATACTTTCCAGTGGATAATTAAATCAGAAATAAATCTAAATAATAATTCTCAAAGAATTTTTGTTTACAAACACATACAATTGAAAATTTGGTTTATTTAGAGGGATAAAGTCCCTATGCTAGCACTAAGAACTTTCAAGCTATTTGGATTGAGAAATATTAACTAAGCTTTAATGTTTCACAGCTTACCAGTAGAAATGGTTGTAAAACAGGAAGTTTCATTTACCAATATTCACAGCATTTCCTATCCCAGAAGGGAGGTTTAAAAGCAATGGAAGACTAACAGTGCTAATATAACCTAGTCAACACACCTTGGAATATGATAAAAAAAAATACGCTTGAATTGACAATTCTAGAGTTTTGGTGATTAAGTAAGTTGCTGTCCATGCAATCCATGCATTTTACAGGTGTGGAGGTAAGCAGAAAGTATGTTGGTTGGCTGTTTATTATATTGTTTATGATAAAACACTTGTACCTCTAACACACTATTTTTATGGAAGACATTCTGAAATATATGGAATTACGTATTTTTAAAACAGCTAATGCCACTAGTTGGTGCCAATCATTACAGAGCCAATTACGATACCCCAAACCAATGAGAGGTTGTTCTTTTTAATGAGGGTGTTTGTCAGCTTCTTCCTGCACAGCAACAACAACAAAACATTTCCCTTTCCGTGATCTCCATCTCTTCCTCTTGATATACCAATTTCCATCACAGATGTTACAAATGTTTGTATTTGTATTGTGTTTGCACTGTAAATTTATTTCACAAAGAATAAATGGTATAGAGGAAAGAAGGAGGAAGTTGGTGGTTGGCTGATTATTCTGTTAGTTGCATCTTTGACTGAGAACGTGGGAGTGTGGTCAAGCAGACACTGTCTGGAGGAGTTTCAGGGGACAGGCAAGCTATGGATTATTAGCTCATGCTCTGCTATGAAGCAGCTTTGAAAACTAAAAAGGACTAAACCATCTCTTCGGTTCAAGGGACAGAAACACATTTCATTCATTAATATATATTTTCCTGTCAAGTAAAGTTTTATCTTTAAGTCTGGTGTAAGGCATCTATTTTTTCTTAAATAGCTAACAACAAACCTTCTCTTGGGCTCAAGAGACAGAAACACAGTATAGATATCAATATCAATATCATTATATATGAATGAATAATACTTGTTGTTCAACTGTCGCCAACCTGACAAGTAATGATTCATCTTCACAATGATTCTACCACAATTAGCTTAAAAAGTTTATATACTGTACCATACAGTCCCTACAAGAATAAGAATAAGAATAAGAAGATGTTATTTATACCCCGCTCATCTGGCTGGGTTTCCCCAACCACTTTGGGCAGCTTTCAACAGAAGATTAAGAGAAATGGATGAACTATGCAAAATTGGCTAAACTGACATACAAACTGCGATATAAGGACAACTGTGACTTTAAAGAAGAATGGGAACTTTTTACAAATTACTTAAGAAGACAACAAAATGAATTGGATTCCTTGGAAGGTTTTGAATAAACATACACAAATTTATTCCGTGCGCTGCGCTGGTTCGCCAGAAGTGGCTTAGTCATGCTGGCCACATGACCCGGAAGCTGTACGCCGGCTCCCTCGGCCAATAAAGTGAGATGAGCGCCGCAACCCCAGAGATGGCCACGACTGGACCTAATGGTCAGGGGTCCCTTTACCTTTTTAACATGGTAGATAGATAATATAATGATTTATACAATTTTATAATATGCAGAGAATAACATGTGTTGAGAAATCAGAGAGAGGAGCTGAGAGAAGTGTTGGTGAGGCAGGGAGGGTTTGATGGGGTGGGGGGAAAGGGGAAAAATAATGAATATGATATGTTTTGATATTTTGTTATGTTGAAATTGTTAATAAAAAACTTTTTTAAAAAAATACATTAAAACATCAGTCATTAAAAACTTCCCGAAACAGGGCTTCCTTCAGATGTCTTCTAAATGTCACATAGTTGTTTATTTCTTTGACATCTGATGGGAGGGCGTTCCACTACTGAGATCGCCCTCTGCCTGGTTTCCTGTAACTTCGCTTCTCACAGTGAGTGAACCACCAGAAGACCCTCGGAGCTGGACCTCGGTGTCCAGGTTGAACAAAGGGGGTGGAGACGCTCCTTCAGCTATACTGGGCCAAGGCCGTTTAGGGCTTTAAAGGTCAGCACCAACACGTTGAATTGTGCTTGGTAACGTACCTGTCTGGTTTGAAATCTTCCCTTCTGGACATGGAGTACAATCATAGCAGCAAAATGGTTCCCCCTCTTTCCTTTGTCTGCTGCAACCTGGATGGCAGTGGTCATTACACAAGGCAAGGGGCACCACCTATCCATAAAGAAGAAGAAGAAGAAGAAGAAGAAGAAGAAGAAGAAGAAGAAGAAGAAGAAGAGGAAGAAGAGGAGGAGGAGGAGGAGGAGGAGGAGGAGGAGTTTGGATTTGATATCCCACTTTATCACTACCCGAAGGAGTCTCAAAGCGGCTAACATTCTCCTTTCCCTTCCTCCCCACAACAAACACTCTGTGAGGTGAGTGGGGCTGAGAGACTTCAAAGAAGTGTGACTAGCCCAAGGTCACCCAGCAGCAGCATGTGGAGGAGCGGAGACGCAAACCCGGTTCACCAGATTACGAGTCCACCGCTCTTAACCACTACACCACACACACTACGCCACAGAAGGTATTGCATGTATTTGATTATATTTTTGTTTGTTCTTTGCCTTTTCATCAACAGGGTGTTGCATTGAAATAATGCACTCGGAGGGTTTTTATTATTATTATTAATTAGTACCACTATCTTTACAATGGTTGTTTCAATCACGAATATTTGTGCATATTCAAACCAATAATATATATATATATATAGAATCAAAGAATTGCAGCATTGGAGGTGACTCTGGGGATCATGTATTCCAACCCCCCACAATGCAGGAATATACAGTTGTCCTATAAAGGGATCAAACCTGTGACCTTGGCATTACCAGCACCATGCTCTAACCAACTGAGCCACTCAGGTACTAAACAGTTCAGGCAAATAAAATGTGCAAGCCAATGGACCTACTGATATATGTTTCCTTTTAAAATACGTTTATACAGATGAGAAATGGCAACTTGGTTCCTTTAAAAAAAATGGACCACAGAATAAAAATTAAAGTTTCCTACAAAGCACAAGTTTGCATTGAATGCTTTCTGTGCTTGTCACATGTGTATGTTCTCATTCCAAAACATTTATTTAATGATTGAGTTTTAGCTCTCATTCCACGTTAAGAAAAATGACATCTCATGCATGGCAACAGCAGAAATACAGTGGTTAGGCAGAGTTGTATGGGAACCAAGGGAATGATATCTAAAAAGTTCTTCCACAGAATTCCTACAAAGGCTCTAACCCTTTGCTGCTAAGCACACCACACCAACTACCTTCCACTGGTCAACAGAGCTTAGTTCAACTAGATAGTCTAGGTATTTCGACCAGTGAATGTTGCAGAGTTGCAGGGTTTAAACCCTGGAAACCAAGATCACTACAGTGACATGTAAACAACCCATCCCTAGCCATACAATCAATGCAGCTAAAAAGACTCATTCAGCAGGGTGTACGTACATGATTATGAAACAAATCTGGTGCATGTCTACCTATAGACCTCAGAAGCTGCAGTTGGGTCCTACCTGGTTAAAACTCTGGTGCCATGTAATGATCTTTTCATCAATGGAGAAATCACTGCCCAGTGGTGCTTGGGGATCCATTTCCCCAACTTTCACTCTTGAGAAGGACTTATTTGGGAAAGTCACCCAGTTGATAATATCAAATCCACCTTCTAGCTCACGTTTCTCATTAAAAAAGACAGTGTCCCCAGCACTGTTGTTAAACAAGATATTTCTCAGGAAAGGTTGAAGCTACAGAGGAGGAAAGAGAATGGTTAATTGGGTAGAAATAGAGCACATAGCACAAAGCTTCTGTTTTCTCATGCTGGGATAAATTCACAGTATTTGTTGAAACTCCCCTTGAGTTTTAAGGGGAGACATGCCTGTTTTAATGGATTACTGCCTTGCAGTGGCGAAGGGGCTTGACTAACTCAGAGAAGCTATGAGCTATGCCATGCAGGGCCACCCAAGATGGACAGGTCATAGTAGAGAGTTTTGACCAAACGTGATCCACCTGGAGCAGGAACTGGCAAGCCACTTCAGTATCCCTGCCAAGAAAACTCCATGGACGAAGGCAACAGGAATATAAAAGTTATGACGCTGGAAGATGAGCCCCTGAGGTCGGAAGGCGTCCAACATGCTACTGATAAGAACGGAGTACAAGTAGAAGTAGATTCAGAGCTGATGAAGTGGCTGGGCCAAAGCCGAAAGGACGCTCAGTTGCAGATATGCCTGGAAGCGAAAGGAAAGTCCGACTTCCGGGGTGGCGCCATCGGCAATGGCGGACTCCCTCTGAACTGGAGGGACTAGCTCCACGGGAAACGGGTCTTCTCCGCTACGGCGAAGCGGGGACCCTTTAAAAAATCACAGGCGGATGAAGCCTGTGACCATGGGACTCAGCGGGCACCTTTAGCGCCCCCCCAACTCGCAAAGGAACCCATTAACGGGCTCCGAAGTGAAGAGGGGGAAGTGGCGCGGTACTGTGAGTCAA